GAATTTTAAGATCGTAAATCTTTATCCATGCGACATCGTACCTACCTGTTTACTGATATTGCACATGAAGCGTACAGCATGGTTTAGATCCATCGCAAATTTTATGAGTCCTATATGACTTCATCTTGATAGCGTAGGCAATGTACGTTTTTCGTCCTAGGAAACTATGCAATGCGTAGCCTCATACCTTAGGCGTAAGTGTAACTCTCAGTCGAATTCAAAATAATTCGGTAACTGAAAAGGCTTCCTTCAAGTATAAAATTTGAAAAAAACGCATTCTGTTACCAAATGAATACAAGAAATAATATTTTCTTTGTGCATTCTATGAAATATATTGAATTTATGGGGACATTGAAAATCAGTGGGTAGGACTCTTATTACATCAACTGTCACTTTTTTCATTAAATGTAGTTTTTTATGCGGCCGAAAATAAGCTCATTCAAAAGCCGGCATCCGGATGTGAGTAACATACCCTGGAGTTAAACTGTCTAATGACCAATATTACAACCTCACTTAAGCATACGTATTTTATCAACAACACATTTTCAGAATGTCTTTTAGTATCTACCGTAATCCCAACTGCTGACGATGAATGGCGATTGTGGGTTTTCATTGTGTGCTTCCTCCACGTTTTGCTTCACATCCAAATCGAACCCTGTCACCTGCAAGAATGTTTCATTTCGCTTTTGATGTGGGAAGTGCACTCGACTGGACTACTTATTGACACATCAGAGCTATTCAGTGCTCTGTGGAGTCGTCTTCGATTTGAATTCAAATTTCGTCTGTTAGTTACTTTCAACTGCATGTGGTCCGTGACGGTCGTAGGAAATATCAGTCAAGTTTTAGGAAGAAGATCGCTACCTGATGAATTTGAGGGTTGCGAGGGAAGTGCCTCCGTTGCTTCAACCACAGCGCGACTATCGTTGGAAGTCGAAAGGCTGCCCCTCAGATCATCATTTGCTGCGGCAGAGTTTCTTCCTGCAGTATCCGCTTCTCTGATGACTTTCTTTTCGGTTGTTGACTCAGAGGGACTTGTGGCGTCCACTGACGAAACTTGTGTGACCTTTGCCTCTAGCGTCATCGTTTGCCGTGGGCTGGAACCGGAGTTATTTTCTTCCTCCTTCGACCGCTCTTCCTGCCAGGGCATTTTAATGACGATTCTCGCCGCTCCGTGCATCGTGATGCTGTGCTGATGAAGGTCTCGGGCTTGGAAAAATGTCCTTTGACAGAGGCTGCACTGCAGAACCCAGTTGCCAACATGGCAATTCTCATCGGTCTGAGTTGGGTCTGGTTTTCGACCACTTGTTAATGTTCTACATTCTGTAATGAAATGGAAATAACCTAATTGGAGATAAATCCTTGTCCAGCGGACAGATGGGAATATCCCCTTATGTGGAAGAATTGGGCCACAAAAATGGAACATAGTTGTATGATTCTTTGAAGTGTTCAATGAGCGTGGGCCGGTGGGAAGTTAGCGGAGACCTCACTTTCCAAGAGCGGCTGCTCTCCATGCCAAGGATTTCCGATTAAGCTCGACCGGTTTGAATTTGGTCAACCACTTTTTAGGTGGCACATCCTTTGTTGTTTTCTGTGTTTTAATATGGAATATCCTTTCTAGAAGATACTAACAGTTGAGCTAATTACTCAAACTTATTTATTCCGTTCTCATCCTTTGAATGACAGGACTTTACGAGGTTATTTCTGTCCAACTAGTTAAAGATACTCGTCTTTTACTTCATGGAGCATTTTTGTGGGACTTGTTCAAAAGTCTAATCGAAAAGTGGCGATGGCTAGGACAATGAGGGAGTCTTAAAATACATGGTTGTGGCTGGGCAATTTGCTTTCTCAGTTTGCTAAGCCACACGGAGTTCAACATGTTTTTAAGGAACAAACTCTTTGTCTTTTGATTGCCGTATGATTTCGGATTTGACTGTACAGCGGAGACATGCTTGCTAACATTTTATGCGGTAATTTCATCTTTTCATAATGCAGATTTTTGAACTCGCCCGCAAGTTTTATCTGCGCGCATGTGCTTACATGAATAGAGAACCGGAACTCGGGGATTGTATTTAATGTACTGGCTTGACTACTGTGTAACCCAACAACTGAAATACCCGCAATTCGCAGATGCACGAGAATCACAACCGTTTCTGATTCAAAAATTGGTGGATGTAAGACGTAAACCCGTGCAGCAACAGTTGCTGCAGATTTCTGTAGAGGTTTTCTGTTAAAATAATGACAGTTAAGGTGGAAGCTCATGCACTTAATACCGTCGGAAACGTGTTGAAAATCATCGGTGAAGGAGAGCCAAATAGAACTGAATAGGTCCTAGTTTTTTAATGGTCAGACCTTATTATGAGCACAGTTTACCAGCCTGTCGTTTTGTTTAGATGTATGTGCCTATCAGTGAGTGAAATTTCCCCTTTTCTGTCAAAGGCCTGTCATCGATGTCCTTTAATTCTATAACAAAACAAAATAATATGCTTCCTTTTTGGAGATTCCTCACAAAAGGCAGACTTACTTGACTCGTTCGTAGTATTGCCGAGCAGATTACGCGTCGGGGTGTGTACGCGTGTGAGATGAGCGTGAAGGGTACGCCGGTCTCGAAAATGTCGACCGCAAATCAGGCAACGGATCGACAAACTACCGAGATTTTGGGGCCTCCATTGTCCTCGAAACTGTTTAAGCAATATCTTGGGCCGTGGAGCAATATTTGGGATTGGACGGGGTATCAATTTACGAAACTTCGTTAGCTCGTTTTTAAACGTGGCATTCTGCGGCTTATTCTGGCGTGGAATACTTAAAGCTGGACCAGAACGTTCCTTCGAGGAGACACTTTCGGGCGTTTTCGACTTTATATTCACTCCTTGGGAGGGAGCTGAGCTGGGAGGAGTATCCAAAGTACTTTCCAGATCTTTCTTTTTGTCGTCCTTGATGTCTGGCTCCTGTGTGGAATTTTCTTGCAACGCTATGTACTCATCTTGGTTTTGTCCATCGAAGAACTCCCAAAAACAAATTTGCGGTTCAAGTTCCATCTAGAGGTAAGTAGGAATGTAGAGAAAGTCATTCTCTGCGGGAAACACTGAAGGCAACCATGAAAGGGAAGTAACCGGGCAAAACGACCTTCAGAGCAGAGATGTTAACAAATGAAAAGGAAAAGAGAAAATGGTTCATACCGATATAACTTCCATTTAACCGATCTGGCCGGGAAGGTCAGTGACATGATAGTCGCAGAAGTATTCATGCAGTGTAGTTAACTTTACCTTCGCTGTCATAACGCCCCGAATGGAGGATTTCCAAACAGAAACGATGAGGTGCATGCAGATTTACGTCCAACATGGTGGGTGTGTATTTGCCCATTGCGCGAACGGTACTAACACATAAAGTAGCTTTATTACCTACTGGTCAACAGTAACCGTCTAAATCCCCGTGAATGTGTAAGTTCACTCTCAGGCAGATAGATGTGTAAAGGATAAAAGTTCTTAATAAAGCCAAAACATCCCTTTAAGATGGAACATTCTTAAAACGGTTTAGCAGCTTAGAACTTGTGAAATTAAATTCACTTCAATGATAACTACCTGGAATTTTTTTCTCCTTGAAAGGAAAGTCGAACAGGCTCGCACAGTTCCTTCGTCAGAGTGTGCTCAATCCATCCGCATTTAACGATGTCCGACATGTGGTCCCCTCACCTACTACGTGTATGTGCGTGTGTGGGTGTGTTTTTGTATGTGTGCGTCATCCTAAATTTCACTTAGTCATGGCACCTCACACGTCTGTCTGTCCTCGTTTTTGTCGAGGCCACCACCCCAGAGTGGGTGTGGGGTTCAGGCTGGCAGTGGTATTCGTCTTCACTCCGCCTGTTCTACATTTGTATTTGGATTTCATCACAAGACACCTGCTACAGGCATGTTGCGTGTGTCATCAACTGTGCATTAGACCTCTGTCTGTCTACCTCGCACACATATAAGAGGACGAATCCGATGATAGAATGCGTCTGACAGGGGCAGCGATAGATGACGGAGAGTTCTGAGCAGGTTAGTCACTTATACATAATATGTGCTATAACGGCGGTCGAGAAGAAGTTTATTAGAAAGTCGGGGTCCTGAGTCGTTGGAACATCTTAACTTTATGTAACATGATGAGAAATATGACAACATCACTTGACTAATCTTTTCGAAGTGGAAACAATTTCAGAATTTTAGTCAACACTTTGTGAGATACCATATCTACTTCCAAGAAAGAACTACTCAGAACGCCTTTGGCTGCTCAAAACATATGGAATTAAATTCACTTCAATGAAAAATACCCGAAATTTTTTTCTCCTTGAAAGGAAAGTCGAACAGGCCTACCTCAAGCTTGTTGCCACCGTAGCAGGGACCAAATTTGCACAGTTCCTTCGTCAGAGTGTGCTCAATTCATTCGCATTTATCGATGTCCGACATGTGGTCCACTCGTCTACTATGTGTGCGTGTGTCATTCTAAATTTCACCTAGTCATGGCAACTCACATGTCTGTCTGTCCTCGTTTTTGTCGAGGCCACCATCCCAGAGTGGGTGTGGGTTTCAGGCGGGTAGTGTTATTCGTCTTCACTCTGGCAGTTCTGCATTTGTATTTGGATTTGGATTTCATCGCAGGACTCCTGCGATTGGCATGCTCCGTGTGTCATCAACTGTGCATGAGACCTCTGTCTGTCTACGTCACACACATTTAAGAGGACGAATCCGATGATAGAATGCGTCTGACAGGGGCAGCGATAGATGACGGAGAGTTCTGAGCAGGTTTGGAGCATGCAGAAAGCTAGACTGTGGTTGCACTACAGCACGTCGTTTTGGCGATAGGTGACCAGACTTTGCTTAGGCTTGTTGAAACAGAATGAGTTCAAAGGGTCACGAGATAATGCGCCTATGTATGTTTCCGTTATGATAACACATGTATTGACTTGGGAACATGTGGCCCTCCTTCATGCGAGTCAATAAAACATTATCTTCCATCGTAAGTTTCTTTGCAATGCCAGTAAAATACGTGAAACACCCACCTTCAACCGATTACGTTCGTTATGTCTATTCTAAAGCAAAACCCGCTTTGTTCATGAGGACTAGCATAAGGGCGTCACAAGAAAGAATTTTTTGACAGATTTTTTCATTGTATGACGTTTCGACAGAAGGGAACTTTCCTTATTAAATACAAGCATTTAATGTGCATAATCGCACTGAATAACTAGATTTAAGAAATACAATGCTGATGTACCTCTGCAGAAATCTCAAAGACCTCTGGAAAGAAAGCCACTTGTCTAGCAAAGAGTATGAACGACTGGGACCGGTGGGCTCGACAATACCAAGAATGTAGGGCCTTCGTAAAATTAACAAACAAGGGCTACCTCTACGTCCAATCATGGATATGAGGAATTTGCCTTATTATACCGTCGCAAAATGGCTAGTGGAAAGACTAAAGCCATTGCAAAGTTATATGTACCCCAGAAGTTTAAAAGACTCCTTTGAGTTCGTCGAATCTATCAAAAATATTAACGTTGGCGGACGGAGGATGCCACCACTGGATGTATCATCGCTGTCTACTAACGTATCCGTGTCAGAAACAATAAACCATTTTTCTGATATAATCCGTCATACGAACTACCCCATAAACATGTCTGTGAAAACGCTAAAAGAACTACTGGCGCTTTGCACACAAAATGTCCAGTTTCTGTGCAATGGTCAACCCTACAAGCAGGTAGGTGGCGCTTGCCAACTTGACTTTTCAATAAATAATTTTGTTTCATTGCCAACACCATTGAAGCCAGTAGCGGCCACACGATTTCATGTCAAATTTTTAGCTGGAATAAAATCGGAAAAAGATACATGCAACGGAATTAATAATCAAAGCCGCATTTTATTGAAAAAGAAATGTATCACATGTTCGACACAATGACCTGTATTACGTGAAATAGGTCTTATACGCTAATGAAGACGAAATTTCGGATTCCAGGTAGGAGTATGAGTCCAAAGAGCACCTCGGGCACCAAAATTATGTGCACATTTTTCTAGGTCATCGAACTCTTACATTAGTCCATCGCCATACACGGACTGTTAATTCAGAAATCACGCCTGTTTATAATGAACACCTTTATATTATATCATACTTACTTTTTATCTCATAACGGGAAAAATTACGCTGCGCCTTCTATCAAGTTTCTAGAATTACGAAAATTGTAAAGCTGCATAATCACCGTGAAGTACGACGGCTTAGTTGATTTCTGTAGCCTCCAAGACATCGGCCTTCGACAACGATATACTGAATAATGACCCAGGTTCCTTAAATCCAGTCTGATCAAGTTGTGAATGTTGCAATTTCGCAAAAGAAATGTAATTCGTACTTAGACTTTTCCCATTGA